ACCTTCGAAAGCGGCCGGTGGAGAACGGAGCGGCTCTTTCTCGGTCCCGTAAGAGATAATGCTTATCTCTTATCATTAGTTTTAACCGAGGCCCATCCGTCCCTGTGGGCCGCCTCTTCTGACACTCAAAGGAGCGAATACCGGGTTGATTCAGGGCTCTTAAATGCAAACTGCTTGTAAATGGTATTTTCCTTCCACAGATACTCAGATCCCTTATGTCAATGTGTTGCATATTGGTTTAGGCTTTTATCTCTGAATCTGCTTCTCACGGGAACACTCACTAAGCCTCATTGCACTGTAGAAGGCTGGGGCGGGGGGGTGAGTGGAAGGAAACCCATATGGAAAGTGCTCCTAAAGTTTTAAGGTGCAAATGAGATCCAAAACACTAACTGGGGACATTGGCTCAGGTCTCCACAGTTGCTTTTGGGCATGAACTGGTAGGATGTGCTGTCTTTTGCCTCTGTCTTTCACCAGTTCCTGGAAGAAAATGGAGTTCTGTGAGGCTTCCAGATGGAGAAACTTTCCCCAAGTGCCTTAATGGCAAAATTAAGCAAATAGGATTTTAACTGCTGTAGCTGGTGGAGAAAGCTGGTTCTGACACATGTGAGAACTCAGAATTTCCCCAGCTTACTTGAGGATGATTCCCCAAAATGTTTTAAATCACTTTCTGTAATTTGTACGTGTCAGAATTTGGCTTCTAGTATTTAAGAATAAAATTCTGTGTCCAGTATTCTTTGATTTCTGACTTTATAAAGTATTAAACCCCAAAACCCCAAAGCACAATTGCCTCTTAGAGTGTTTCAGCACTGAAACACCATTCAGGCCCTTCCTCTGCTAGATTTAAAAGGGCAAAACAGGACTTTGTGTCTACCTTTGGTGCCTTCACACTACAGCTCACTTCTCTTTGCCTTAATGGACAGCTTTTATATCCCATTAGCTTATTCTTTGCCTCCTGAATATGCTTTGAAGCTTCACCTGAGGCTGGGAATCTGTGATTTTTTTTGGTGATTTTATGTGCATTTGACTATAGAGACAATCACTGTCACAGATAATCTGTGACAGAAGCACAGCAGGGAGGGCAGGAGAGCAAGGGCTTCATGTTTATGAATGTCTTCTTTTTACATTGATTCTTCTCAGACATTTAGGTTTGTCTTTAGTAGTCCCTGAGTGGTGGTTCAGCCTGAGGAACGTGGTATTAGGAGGGTGTATATGAACTTAAACTTGCCTGCAATGAAATGCAACGTTCCTATTTCTACTTAAAAGGAAGATACGTTGAAAGCTGACATGTTTCTTTGGCTGGAGAGAGGCGATTCTCAGAGTCTTTCACACCACGCTTCCTAATGCTGCTCTTGCAGAATCCTTTAATTTCACTGGAGTTACTTTTGAGATGCAGCTCTGAGGAGGCATTGGTTTTATTCTGGAAAGTACCTCCTTACCTATCTGATCATTAAATGCTTTTCATACAGATTGGAACCATAGGTATTCCCTGGCTAATCAATCATCAGATGCTGCTTTTATGAATTCCCTCCTGCTTGCGCTCTGTGACATGGAAAACTCTTCCTTCACCCCAAAACTATGCAGCTGCTTTCAGCTAAATGTATGTCCTGTTGTTGGAAGTAGTTTTAACTGTGTAAAATGATGAAACCGCAACAGAGTTCCCATCTTTGGTACTTCTTTTCTAAGCCTGAGGACTTGCAGGTTGAAGTTTTTAATTGGAACTCTCTGGTGGAGGGTAGTCACTGTTCCAGGTGTTCACAGGCATCCATTCCAATGGGAGATTCATGGTTTTCCAGGTAAACAGGTTGTTTTAACAGGGCAGAAGTGTGCTGAGTCTTGTGTGACAGTCACACAAGGCCAAAGCGTGCACTGCACCTCCTTTACTCGCTGAAGGATGAAATGCAGTTGTCATTTACACCTTGCTACAGTCACTTGCTAAACCTTCTTAATACCTTATTAATACTATTTTACTGAATTGACAGATGTTGGGTTAATATTTAGCCAAATATTACAGAGGAAGCAAAGATGAAGTAAACTTGAACATCACATTTATCATGGGAAATGCTTTACCTTTTATTCCTGTAAGCAGGACTTCACACCTTTGAGAGAAAGAGCAGCAAAAACCTTTGTGCTTTCCCCCTGGTTTGTTTATTTTGGGTGGTTTCTTATCTGTTGGTTTCATTGTTTCTTGCAGCCTGTTTTGCTGATGTTTCGAGTCTTTCCTGGGACAAGAAGGCAGAGCAAAACAGTAAAAGAGAGAGGGGAAGACAGCGCGTGGTTTAGCACTACAGAAATGAATTGGGTATTTCTGTAGCACTGGAAACTTATGTTAATTTTTGCTGTTGACTGGATTTCAGTTTGACAGTGCCCTGTTTACTTGTGACACTTGCCAGGTCTCCCTTTGCAGGGATAGAAAAGGTAGATTTTTCCTTTATAAAAAGCTAAACCAGCTTAGAGGGGATACAGAGTTGTGTCCCTTCTTCATGCTTCTGGTTAATCCTGCTCTTTATTTTTTCTACCTTCAGGATACTTAAATGACAGGCTGAGAGAGCTGGGCTGGTTCAGCCTGGGGAAGAGAAGGCTCCTTAAGGGGGGAGACCTTAGAGCACCTCCTAAAGGGGCTCCAGGAAACCTGGAGAGGGGCTTTGGACATGGGCCTGTAGGGACAGGACAAGGGTAATGGCTTTAACCTGCCAGAGGGGAGATTGAGATGAGCTCTGAGGCAGAAGCTCTTCCCTGTGAGGGTGCTGAGGCGCTGGCACAGGGTGCCCAGAGAAGCTGTGGCTGCCCCATCCCTGGCAGTGTTCAAGGCCAGGTTGGACACAGGGGCTTGGAGCAACCTGCTCTAGTGGAAGGTGTCCCTGCCCGGGGCAGGGGGCTGGAACTGGATGAGTCTTAAGCTCCCTTCCAACACAAACCAGGCTGGGATTCTGTGGAATTACGTTAGATCTCCATTTTTTTCCTTAACAAATGAATGAACAAATAAAAGCCCAAACAGATTTTCTGATGTGCAGGTGAGCTCTGCAGCAGCTGAAAAAAGCAACTGTTGGAATTGCACTGCTCCACTCCCACATGGAGCCGGGTGTCAGGCAGGATCCTCGTCTCTCATTCACGCTCCTGACCATGCAGAGGGGAACGTGCTGTTGCATTAGCACGAGCAGCAATGTGATAATCTTAGCCAAGGCAGTCGGGATAGTTTTGATTAAGCTGAAGGATTCCAGAAGCTGGGAACAGCTGAAGCACTGCCCGGCTCCTGTGAGCTTTTATTCCAGAGTGAAGCCTTCATTTTGCTGCTTCAAGTTAAACTGTGGACAAGCTGGTTTATGTTTATGGACATAAGTGTGTTGGGAAGCTGTATCATATGCTGGAGAAGGTTTGTTCCGTGCTGTAAGGGACATGGTTTCATGTGGCACCTAAACATCAGTTTTCCCTCCACAAAGTTCTGTTTTAGTAACTTACTGGAGTGGGACTCCTCAGATGAGTAACGATTGCAAGAACAAGATTCTGGTCTTAGTGTATATTGACTTCTTACCCTCTGAGTCGACGTCAGGCTGCAAGAGCTGTGGTTTATCTCAGTAGGGAAAAATCAATGACTCACATTTCCACAGAAAGAAATGTAATTTCCAGTCTCATAGCAACTGTCCTTTCAACAGTTTCAAACCTTCTGTGACAAAATGTTTAACACTCACCGATCATCTTCTAATGCTCTAGGCTGGTCCACCCACTCACCCAGCCCAAAGCATGCGTTTGGCATCCCTAAATCCCCCAATATTGGCGGGGGGATGTTGCCAAGATGTTGAACAGTTAAATATAAAGTCTTTGAAATGACAGAAGTGTTCCTGACTGGATTGCATGGAGAGAGAGTGACTTCTGCAGGGTTTAATATTCAAACCTGTATTCTCTCTACTTCGATTTGAATCCCTGGTTTGGGTTTGCACACCTTCAGATGTTCTTAAATAGGTTTGGCTGGTAGCTTGGATAGAATATTTTGGAGAACTCTTTTTCTCAGAGCAAGGTAGTCTTTAGCAGCAATGCTTGATCTTGGTTTTCTTCCTAAACCTCATGACTCGACTTTATTTTTAGGAAGAAAACAGGAAATTCAGTCAATACATGTGACAGCAGATGTCTGCACCGGTCTGACAGAGGGTTGGATGCAGGTGGTGGTCAGGGAGACACAGTTCCCTCTTCCAAGCAGGGGTTTGTGCTGCTCTGTGGCCTCAGAAAGTCCATGGAAAGGACCCACGGTGTCCTTCCCCTTGTGCTCCCAGGAGAAGGTATGAAATGATCTGGATGTCACAGGGGAAGTGACAGAAAATGCCATCACTAATAGTGACATTGAAGGACAAGGAACTAATTAAAAATGTCCAAATATGACTAAAAGCTTTATGCACTGAGAGTCTATAAAGCATCAGTAGAAGCTGGGAACTGACCTGTTGTTTGGATTTCTCATGAACTTAATTTAACTCCTTGCTTTTCTTGCAGTTGATTATGGAAGAGGTGCACAAGAGCAGCAGTAACAGTTCAGTGTCGCCTTCACAAACATCAGCTGTACAAGGTACAACACTACAGGCAGCTCAGCTCTCTCATATTGCTCAACAGGTAAAGCCTGGGCCAAATCTCAGCAAACATTTGAGGTAGTTAAGAGCCATTTTTTATGTACTACAAACTATAGTGATTCTTGACTTCTAGAAACACATAGGGAAGAAAGAACAAAAGGAAGCTGAGAAAAATGGGTTATGTTTGTTGATGGAGGACACAAAATGAATAAAATGGCTTGTATTCAAAAGGCCAAAATGAATTGTGCTTGTACAAAATGAATTGTACATCCTTTGAAATCATTGTTGACCCAACATAGGGGAGCAGCTCAGTAATGAATCGAGGATCTGATTTTCATTTCTTTCTGAAGAAGTATTTATAGCTCCTTTTGTAGTAATGGCAATCCTGGGTGCTCAGCACCATGGAAACACTTGGATTTTAGCCCAACATGAATATATTTAATGTAATAAATCATATGAAGTTGGAAATTTGACATAAAAGTAACATCACTTTCAAAGCTTTAACCTGAATTCCTCATGATTCCAGTTTCTGCATCTGAAAGAGCATCTCTGTCCAGGCACAGTCTGCTCCCAGCCCTGAAAAACACTTTGCAGCTCATCCACTGGTCACCCTGTGGAGGCAATTTGGAGTTTGATGCAAAATTTAGATACATGCCTGAGGCAAAGACAGGAGAGAATACCAGCAAACATCCTGTTGTTTGCTTAAAGGCTGTCTTTCTGCTCTGCTTTTATATAAGGATGCCAATGGGTAACTTAATATTGCAATGTATGGTACGAAAGTAATATTAAATGGGAAGTTAGCTGTGTGAGTTTTAATGATCCCTTCATCTTCTCATATATTCCAGATTAATAAAAGCAGTGAAGATATTTGGTGAGGAAAAGGGTGGTTTATTTATGCATCTACGTGTATTAACTTGAATCAGTTTTTAAGTGCAAAGTTGAACATCAAAAATACAGAGCTGCTGGAATGGAAGAAGCACTTTCTATAGGAGTAGCAGTGATGTTTAACATTTGCCAGTTAAACCTAGATCTCAGACACAACATTTATTGAAACTGGTAGTTTTAAAACATGCAAGAACAGATGCTGTTGTTTTTATTTGGAAAATCTGCTCTTTGTTCCTTCTTATCCAGAGCCTGTGCACCTTATCTCCTCCAGTTGCCTTTTATCTTCCTTTAGTTACAGCCCTTGTGCCTTGAACTTTCTAAGTAGATGGGTCAGCTTTTGCTATACTTCACTCTTGTGATTTCTTCCGTGTGAAATCTTTGAACGATGGCCTCATCCTGCTCCCTTTAAACAAATAAATCCAAGAACACCAAATATGTGCATTATTCAGGCTACCTTCTGCATCACTGTAGTGTTGTTAGTCTGACCTGTCCTAAGCCCTTAGTCTTGTGGGTCATTTCACCTTCATTTAGATTCTAGTGCCCTGAACTCCCATTAAGTGAGAATTAAGGCTACTTTTTTTTTTTTTTTAAGGGACTTTTATTGCTGCTTATCCAAGCTGTGGTTCATTTAGAACTGCATGTATTTAAGTTGCAGCATTTTAATCATCTTCACATAATGCTGTGTATTTGATTTCCTCCCTAAGGCAAACATGTAACTGTTTCAACCTTTTCTGTATGCAGATACGTATCTCAGAAATGTGCATCTTTAAAGGATGTCTTTATGACTTAATTAGACTTGAAAGGAGCTTCTGCTAATGCATGTTCTCCACTGGTTTTCCTACACGTATATACACTTGGTGAATCCTGTGGAACAAACACTAGTGTTAATGATTCTTTGCTTTGTTGTAGATGTCTCTAAGAGGTCCTACACCCCTGACAGTTGTTCAGCTTCCTGGAGAGCAAGTCCAGGTCCAGGGAGTCATTCAGACAGCTCAGTCCTCTTCTGTAATCCACTCACCTCAGGTGCAAACAGTGCAGGTAACTACAGAATGTCTGTTAAATAACCAAGAATCCTGGTTTATGTAGGTGAAAAGACTTGTAAAGCCTTGTCTGCCTTGGCTGGGTCTGCCACAGTGAAGCTTGGCTGGGTCTACTGTAAGATACAGTGAGTAGGCAAGTGACAGAATTTAGGAGATAGGTGGTTCTAAATGATCTGTTTAGGCCTGAAAGTATTTCTGATGCTAAAATTGCTTTTGGAGTTGAAATGAAACTATTTGACATTGCCTCCCTTCATAAAAAACCCCCAAAACAAACCCACAGCTCTGTAGATGGTGCTCTTAACAGACATGCAACCAGTGTGTTTTAATACCCAAATAAGGAGAGTGTGGAATAACCCAGTGAATTAAAACGTGTTTGGAAAAGGGAGACCTGAATGCTGGTGGATGAGCTGTGGATTGCTCACCTCCTGTACACTCTGTCTCCCCTTCGTGGTACTTAAGATTCTGCTTGTGTCTCATGTTCATTTGCCATGTGATTTTTGTACAAGCCACTTCAGAGAGGTGCCTTGGGGAGTTCACAGTCGAGTCTGTTACTACTTCATTCAGTTCTTGGCTGCAGAGAGCCCTCAGGGCAGCACAGCATTGGAGTTAAACTGCAGTAACTGTACTGCTCAGCCAAATGTCTGCAAGAACTGTGCTAAAAGGCATTAATTTGTCACTGATCCTTTTGTACTGTGCTTATCTCTTCGTACAACATTAAAGTGATAAACCGTGAAAAGTAAATCTGTAATGCATTTTCAGCTGTCATTGTTCCTGTAACATCAGAGCATGGAAAGAAAACCACATTCCACTTTGCTGAGAACAGGCAAACGTCTGGTTTAGTAGGTTGTGGTTCCTTGAGTCTCCATTCACACCCCTCCTATGGTTGTGTTCTAGTTGCAGGGTCCTCACTGACTGAATTTCTTCCTTTTTTTTCCCTGTAATCTGTGAACACTTTGACCTTGTTGCTCAAAGGTGGGAAAAAAAGCAACACACGAAGAGCTTTTTTGAAATGCTGATAGGAGGTTGCTCTTGTCTCTGTAGCAGCAGCTGAGAAGTGCTTTTCCCAGAGCTGTATGCATTCTTCTTGACTTTTTGTTGCTGACACACAGATAAGTACAAATAAATGTTTTGTTGGCTTGTATTTAACAAGGAGCACCAGAGCAAAAAAAGAACTCTTGCCAGCTGGCTGAGGACACAGTGGAATCAAGAGAACATGATAACACTTTGCACTTTTACTCCCTGATATGCTGCTGCCTTAAATATTTTTTTGCAGTTGACTCTTACATTCTGACCAAGAAAATACACTGTTCTTCTGTCTACATAAAAGATTTCAAGTACTTTATGTGCTTCTCTCTGTACACAAATGCTGTTCTTTCCCACCAGCTCCTCAGACAAACTGATGTGTGGGAGTGGCTCACCTATTCAGACCACATCAGCTGATAAGATAGTTTGGCTTGTATGATGTTTATGGAAATAAGAAACCATTTCTATTTCTTCACTCTGCTGGTTTAAACATTCTGGATTGATTAATCCCACAGTTTGATCCACCTAAACCAACTACTTCCAAATAGTGGACATTTTTCAGTTTTTAATGTGATAAATAGTTTGGGAGAATTTCTTGAGCTTTCTTTTTTGGGGGCAGGAGAGGGGATTTGCTTCATTAGGACCTTACCAATATAACAATCTTTGCTAATTGCTAGAAACAGTCGATAACACTGAAACTAGAAATCCTCCTTTTTTAGTTTCTTTTTCTAATTAGCTGCAGTTGTGCAGTTTTCAAGCAGCTTTAGCTCGTATACACGTACAATGTGTAACCTCATGTGGGGATTTCAGCTGCAGGATACCAGATAATCGCATGGAATGTGTTTTTTAGGTATCTTCTTTGTCTGAGAGTGAAGATTCTCAGGATTCATCAGATAGCATAGGCTCTTCACAGAAAGCTCGAGGCATCCTAGCTCGTCGTCCCTCTTACCGGTAAGTAACAGATTTTGTACTTTTATTTGAAACCAAAAGAGCAACTTCTTTCAATAGCTTCATATATTCTGTCAACCCTAAAGTTGGGTTTTTTCTCTTGAAACATGCACTGGATCTGTTGCAGGCAGTAAATGTTTGGGGAATGCCATGTTAGCTGTCGTTTGCTCCGACGAAACTTTGACTTTACTAACTGGAGATCAGCTTCAACGCAATGTG